CTCAAGAGTGCTAACAGAGATGAGTGCCACCCCATTGCTCCATGTGATTATGAAAGCACTTTGATTTTGAATTCCCTTGAACAAAATGGTCCTCTTTAAGAAAAACAATTTGGAATTTCGGCTATTAATCACGCAAGCGTAATATTTAACCGTAGGCTTTTTTGAAGCACTATCCCACATCTGGCGGAGCGGGGGGGGGGGGGCCAGGTAATACCAAACACATGTGCCGACCTGGGGATAGAAATAGCTTCCTGTGCAATGAACACTACCCTCTGGGTGAACTGTGCAGGCATAATGCTCTACACCTAATTTACCCCCAAAAACTATAATCATACCGGAGAACATAAGAGACTGCAATCAGCAGGTAGTTGTTTGATTTATTGTGCACTTTAATGTACTGCCCTCTATACTTCAACATGTATCAGTATCTGTAATCAGAAGCATGTGTGCCATTTCATTAAGAATATAAATAACAATTAAAGGCAAGCCCAGATAAACAGAACCCATACCCCCAATATATTTTCAAGGGGTACCGATTACAATATGTATATTTAAAATGTGCAATTATATGTGAAGACTTAGTTAGGGCTGTGCTAGCAGCAGTACTGTTTACATAAACTTAGAACTAATGCTAACTGTTAAGCTGGGAAAAATATATTGTGGCAATTTAACCAATTGCTATGTCATAGGTTTATTTCTACCGTGTACATATGTATATACATGAAATATGCATTTTATTATGTGCCCATTGAAGGTACTTAATGGTACAGTATTTGTAAAGTGGAACAACTAATTGTGACATACTTATTTATAGTGCCAGGTAGGCAGAGGTGACTGGGATGTTTCACCTGCCGCGCCGGGAGATGGGTTAGAACCGATGGTGGTTACAGATTGTAAGTCCAATGCGTGAGCCATGCTTTCACGACAAGTTCCCTTTCGAGGTTGGTATGCGTGAAATATTCAAAGCCTGCAGTCAGTACATTGCCATCTGTTTTTTTTTACCAAATTGTGCTTTACTTTGGCACACGCCCATCCACCGAGGCCAGGATAATTATTCGGGCCGTAATTTAGTGCTGCAGGGGTGAGGATAAGGATCCAATCCAGTTAAATGCAAACGGCCTTTTGGGCAACTTCCAGGCAGCACCAATCTCGTGCTGCAGTAAAACTACGAATGCTCTGAAGAATATTGCCCTCGCCAATCACAACTAGTTTTGGCGCCCCATGGGGCATAGTAATGGATGTGTTCATGGATGCACCATAAACATTTATGGGAAACAGGAGATGGTTAGGGTTAGGGACAGAGGTAGGATTACTGAATGGCTGCAGCATTTTCTCAGAGCCGGCAGTATTTCGCACACCCATTGCCTCCAACCGCATGTTCGTTTTTCCATCCATTTATGCTGCACCTTGTATTTAATTTTTTCTCTTATCCTTCTGTGCAAAAATGATGTGTCTGAGGATAGGAATTTGTATGTATTCATTGCTGAAATGCAGCAGCATCTCAAAACGACTTACAAATTTATTGAAACATACAAAACGTAATTGGGCATAAAGTTAGTCCGTTTGTTCCAAAAACGTTACCTTTTTTAAGGGAGCCGTTAGGTTAATTATTGCAAACACGGGGAGGGAGGGGGGGGGGCGTTTTGTCCATTGGTCTGGCCATAGACGACACCGATATTTCCACGATAACTACAAATCCCCTAAACCAATCGCCACACAATAGTTTAACACAGCTTACCAGCAACGCTATTGCCCTGGGAAACATTGGCTCCAAAACAAGCAAAACAACTTCATAGTGCTGCCTGTACATGGTGGGTGGGGGTGGGGGGCGAGGAGCGAAGAGTGGGCGGTGGGGGGGGGCGCAAAAGAGAGTATGGATGACGCACGCAAATAGCACGTGTGTGGAGGAGAGGGAGCAGCACCTGCGCAGAGTGGTCGGTGGGGGGGGGTTGTGTGCCGGAAGGGGGCTGAGGAGTGGCATGCGCTCCTAGCACGCTGGCGGGCAAGAGTGCAGGGGGAGGAGGGGGCACGAGGAAGAGGGGCGCGCCCCCACTCCCAAACCCCCTCTCCCTCTATTTACTATTTAACTCACTATTTTTTTGGGGGTTTCGGAAGCGACCTGGCCACAAATGATTGCTCAACAAAAAGTGGCTTATCATGCGGGGAATCATAGCAGCCGAATCCTCTGAATGTGGAGGGGATAAAACTGGAGGAACCAGAGAAGAATCCACGCGACCACGGGGAGATCATGTGACCTCCATGCATACAGGCGTCAGGGTTGGGATCGAACACACAACCTCCTTGCATACCAGGCAAGGGAGTTAACATCTCACCACCTACTCCTTCAGAAGCAGTTCTGTGATATGTCCTTCCACAGACCGTTCTTTGACTTGATGGTGGGGTGATGGACAATTGGGATGAAATTGGGGGGTGGGGGAGACAATAATAATGGGCCGTGATTAATCCACTGCTGGAAGGATTCAGGCCTGTGCATGCCTTCGCCCTCACGGTTCCTCGATGCAAAACTCATCATGCGCTGTAATTTGATATTCTTACCTAGAATGCTTCTCAACAGCAGATTGATTGACCCAATAATTCAGCCTCTGCTGCTGTACCCTTGCTTGTAGAGACCCTGATGTTTAATTTAATGCACATATAAACTACTGTCAACCATGTTTTTTTTACTCATTTTACTCTTCCAAAATGTATGGAAATGTTTAATATCCACTCCACTGCCTGTCAAAAAAGTCCAAAGTGCCCCTTCAAAAACGTCATGGGAAGCATTAATCTCCATTAGTATCCTTGAGGCAGTGGCGGAAAATCCACATTCACGTGAAGGTGGCCAGTCTCTCCATGCCACGACAGCTGTTAATTTCCCACAAAGAGACGATCCCAGAGGGATAACTACTGAGATTACTCATGACCGTGATTTGTATTCCTCACTTTCTGATTGTGAGCCAATGGCTGTTATTGCTGTGCCACCAAGCTGAATACAAATTTAATGGACAGAGCGTATTCCCTTTTTGCAGTTTCATATTTTATGCTGCCAGTTTTTTTGGTCTGCCATAAATTATTATCTGTTTTTTCTCAACTCTCCATAAGGTCACAACCCTTTCATACCATAATCATAATGGGGAGGCATGGCCATAATAACTTGATTATTCCATATGGTTGGAAAAAAGTAGGGCTTTTTTTTTTGCAAGCCTGGGGTCCAGATGCTTCATACGTGCCCCAGAGCACACAAAGAAAGAGTGGTGGGTGGGAGAGAGTCTGCAATGGGCCGGGAGAGAGAGCTAAGGAAGTGGCCAGGGGAGTTGGCGTTTTGAAGACAAGGCAGGGCCATGGCTAAATCAGGACTTCCGGAGAATCGGGACACCATATTTGTGGTCACAACGCAACTGGATTTCACCCAAAAATGTAATTGTTTGGGTGATGGATATACATGTGCAAGGCAATTTGCGGACTAAAATTCTATCTGGAATGGTCCTCTGTGGTTTTGAGAGTGCTTAACTCACATTTGGAGGATTTTAAGTTGATATCTTTGTATGGGAGGTTGACTGAGCCGCTCATTCTTCTGAGGTTGAAGTAAGTAATCAGAGATTGCTCCATAGAGAAACAATATAGGAATATGGAAAGTCTACCATTGACCTATGGCCATATACTGAGATCAGCACTCCGTCTTGCTTATTTAACCTGGTAGACGCTTTGACGTTTAACTCGTACTTAAGCTTGCTTCGGTAGGTGCAGAAGGATGAGAGCCTATTTGCAAAAGCATGGATATCCTTAACATTTACTCGGTGGCACAATTAAAAAAAAAGTTAACTTTGTACGTGCAATCTAGAAAGGAGGCTGTGTTTTCATTGAGTACGTGTGAAGGATAGAGGAAGGCAGGTTTACAAGCTCTGGAGTGGTGTCCAGGGGTCAGTTACCAAGTGGGAAGGCCTGCAGTCTGAAAGCGTAATACCCGGGAGGGCAGACATGGGGTCGTGTGTCCACTGTGCAGCAGCTGCAAGGTCTTCCAGAAGGAATCGTTAGTGCGGTGATGTATGGGCATCAATGGTATATGGGGTGCGGTGACGCAGTGGTTAGCGTGCTGCACGACGAACCTGGTGATCCGAGTTCGAATCCTGTTTGAGTTCGAATCCTGTTTGAGGCCGAGGTAGACTCGGCCTCAAATGAGTACCTGTTACGATGTGTAAACATCACCACTTGGGAGACAGAGGGCCAGGCGTGCTGGCCACCTCCCCGCCCCGTTTGCCTTGCCAGCCTTCATAGAACTTGCCCCAAAAGTCTGTTAAGGCCAAACCAGGGATCTTTGTGTGTTTGCTTGGGCATGAATGGTCTTGGTCAAGATGACCGCTTGACCTTCAGTGAGGTATTTAGCCCTTTCCCGTTCCGATGACGTACGTGTACATCATCAAAACGAAACGGGAAGAAAAAACAAAATAAAATAGCTTTATCGTTACCGACACTCCCACAAGGCCATGCGGGAGGGCGTGGAAGTTTGGCACGAGGTTTCATAGAGTGCGGTCGTGTCACTACAGTTCTCTGAGGTGAGTACAGTCCAATGTCTGTAAAAATAACAGTGCTGTGCCTCTTAAAATAAAATTAATGCTAACCACTTGCGCGTTCCGAGATTCAGAGATTCCGAGGTGAATGGGACCCACCCTGTAACTTGCAGACGTCTTGTAATGGAAAGGGTTAACTGCAGGCATACATCACCGCACCTGGCAGAATGTGAGGAGATGGGTGTGCTATTTGAATTAGCAATCATTTTAATGCACGCATCACACTGAACAAAAGCCAAGCTTTAAATGTTTGCGAAAACTCAGTGTTGAGAACAAGTTATGTCACAAAAAAGCCTCTGTACAAGCTTGAGATATTTTTCCAAACAACATTAAAAGCAAATATCGTGGCTTCACAGACGTCTTGGAATGGGAAAGGGTTAATCTGCCCGTTGGTGCGCGTGCATTTTTTTGTCTCTGTTTCGTTGCGAGCAGCGGTGAGGAATGACCGGAGCAAAAAGAAGAAGGAGGTGGTGCGACCGGAGTTGCAGGAAATTCCTCCCCCGTGCCCCGAGATCGAGGACCTCATTGACCGCGTGCGCCGTGCCCACCAGGAGACTTTCCCATCCCTGTGCCAGCTTGGCAAGTACACGACGGTAGGTGGACTTGGCGCACCTGCGTCCCTGTCGCTGAAACCTTCCATTGCTCAGTTGGACAATTGCAGTCATGGTTGGCTGATCTTATTTTCTTAAGTGACGTTTAGAGGATCGTTACGTTATATTTTTCGAGTCAAAAGTCAAATGGTCTCCCTGATTTAACAAACAGTGGGGGCTGAGCCTGTGGTACGACTTCCACATTGCTGTGGCAGGGGTCTGTATCTTTGCAAGAACCACTGATAGATGCCCACATAGCAATCCTGCGTTTATCAACCCATGGGGTAAGAGAGGCTGAGAATGCCATGACCTTTTAAACTCAACTGTGAATTATACTCTTGCACCGATACACTATCCAGTGGTATGTTTTGGTCATTTTTAAAGTAAACATACACAGCCCTTGTTGGCTGCTGAAAATAGCTGGTGTAATAGTGATTAATACTATATTGAGAATGTTACTTTAAAATGTTTTCCACCAATCGGCAATTTTTCTCGAGCACCAGCAAGTTTGCCGCAGAATTCGCCACACCACTCCAGATAATGAATTAATACAACTTATTTCCTTCATCATGCCCTTGGCATGTCCACGGTTCTGGTATGGGGTCTGCCCTAGGTCACCCACCCTAACGTCAGCATCTGGCATGATGTATACATTTCAGCACTGGAAATGAAAATACATTCAGGGTTGAATGTATGAACTCTTCATCGCAAACATGCATAATAACAAGAGGAACAGGGTACTTTTTTTTTAAAATGAGAAATATGTCGTTAAATTAGGATACCCTGTTGTATTTGCTTGAAAATGTCAAATTGAAAAACACAAAATGTGATCCCAAAAATATCGGAATATGACTATAAATAAGAAGTTTGTGTATAAAACAGACGATATATATGCTAAGTTTCTACCCGTGGTGAGCACTGCCCATTGATATCATTTTTACAAACCCAGGTTGTATTGACCCAAACCCCTTTGACTCATTGGCTTTGCGTTCTGTGTTGGCTTTAATAAGAACACTCCACCAGCACTTGTGCCTTTGCTATACAGGTCTGTCCAGCAGTCTGCCTCATTGTCACTCAACTCCAGTGCTCACTACACCCCATGGTGCAGCCTTCCTTAATTACCAACCACCATGTGTGTGTGCAATGTGTCGCGGCTTAATTTACATATTGATGGAAAAGATTAGCAATTACGTTTAGCTGCGCGCCGTTCGAGGTCGTTAGGACAGGAGTTTGGAAGGAAAAAAAATCCCGGTCTCTCTTAATGGTTGCTGTGTGAATCTTGCGGAAACGAAGCTTCAAACACACATGCACCTGTGCATGTCTGCACATCTGACCTCCAGCAACTTTTGATGTACGAACAGCGGCAAAAATATTTGGTTTGCCCCGAAAAAAATATCTGAAAGGTAAAAAGAAACCGTTGCTCAATCTGCCAATTGTTTTGGTCATTATGCCCTTAATTAGCAAGCCTGATTAGAGCCCCTTTATGATGCCATATGTGGGAGTACACCAAAGTAGCTCTAAAATAAAAAAAAACCCCACGCGCATGAGGGGATAGCGCCCGCGTTGCCACTACAAATGAGGCCACAGCCCAGTTTCTTTATTTTTCCTTCACTGCTATTTCCTGGCGACCTTCGCGGCCCAACGGTAGTGCCCGTGGTGTCGCAGGACGGAATGAAAATCTGGATTATCCACCAAAAGCCACCTCCACAAACACACCAGGGAGCAAGATTTCTTCTTAAACATTAATATAACTGAACACTGCACATTACATATTTAAATATATTAAGGTTGGCTTTCTAGAAGGGAACACTCGGAGAGTTTGGAAGGTTTTGAATGTGAATTCGGAGGAGAGTTATGAAAATAAGCGTGGACGGAAAGAAAAACAAATAATGTTGCTGCTGCGTCCGTTGGGAGAAGAAAGTGAACTCATTCGATCTGTTGTTAGGATGAGCAAGCACATCTGTACTGGGCACATAGCGAGAAGGAAAAAGGGGCTTGCTGAAGGACGTGATTTGAGGGAAGATTTTTTTGGGAAAAGACCACGAGGGAGGTGAAGAATGGTGATGTTCAACGATGAAGGGCACGGAGGCAGATGAATAGAGCAACGGAAGGCAGAGGAACGTGGAGGTATAGAATTGTGCCTCGGAATTCTCTACGGACAGATACGCGTAACGATTGAACACTTGCTGAAATGTTCAATTATGTGGATGTGAAAATAATATACGTACAAGACGTATACTGGTTACTATATATTCCACAAGTACATGTAAGCTCACTCCATTATGACACGCAGAACATAACCCTCGGCAAGTTAGGCGAGACATTTTTTTTTGCTTGCCAGACCCCTAATCCATCACGGCACACTCCGCGCACGCTTGAAGGTGCAACCCCGTTCAGGACATCGTGGTCGCAAAGCAACCCACTGATTTATGAGAATCTCACTAACCAGTGTAACAAATGTATGTGTTATATATATCAGCTGAAAAAAACTATCTTGCAATGCTAATGGTATGAATAATACATTTCAATGCAGAAAGAACCCACCTGCAAATTACTCAATTGGGATTATGCATAGTGACGTCGCCTCTCCCCCCCCCCCCTACTGCAAAAACTTGGCAGGTCCCTGCTGACAATGAGTGTTGAGATTCAGTGAGGCTTTCCTGGGTAAACAAGTGGAATAATAAAAAAACACAAAGATTTAGGCAAATGTGTTAGAGCAGTGGTTCTCAAAGTGTGGTCTGGGACGGTCGGTGGGGCTGCGATGCAAATGCAGGTTGATCCGGACAATAATGACAATGTTTACACCACCTTTTGTTTCGGGCATGAATTCATCCTTTTAATCATGATATTTAATTTAACTAAAAATGTAGGTTAGGTAAACTACCCTGATTAAACAACCCTAACCCTAAAATAAAAAAAAACTTATCGCTGTATTATAAAAAGTTTTTTTATGATCCGGTGGTTTGAATCATTTTTATATGAGTGGAATTTAGAGAGAGAAGTGATTTGCGTTTTGTCACCAGGGGGGGGGGGAGGGGGGCTGGGTGGTCCGCGGACCAACAAGAGGTTTGAGAAACGCCGGTGTCAGGGCGATTCTTAAGTATTTGTGAAAGCCCGTGCCCTGAAATGATTGGTGCGTTTGTGGGAGACAGACTGTCTGGCCAAGAACTCATTAAGATATTTTCTTTCAGCACTTATGTGCATCTGTTATTGCTGTGTTTGATTCAATTTTGTAATTAAGTAAGCTGTGCTTTTACAAATGCAGTGTTAACCCTTTGAAAAATGACTGCCTTGCATGATCATAAAACCCAGCTGTTTTACATTATGGTGAATGTCCACATGATGTAGAGCATATTAATCAGGTTTGACCTGCCATTGGAAATGTCCAGAGGTTCAGAGCTAGTCTAATTTTGAATCCCAGCTACATTTCTGGCTTTCCCTTGTATTTGCAATAAACTATTCCGTTCATTATCCAGCCTCTAATTTAGCCTTTCATAAAAGGTGAAAGATTTCCAACTCTCTTCTATGGAAGTCGGCTAAAGAATACGTGTTAATTCTTAAAACCGGGCAGACTATCGCAGGATTACGTTTCCTTTATCGTGCATGGGATGTTAGCATAGTACTTAAGTTAGTCTTAATTCCCCCAGGGCATTTGTCGTGGTGATCTCAACACTTAAGTGAGTCTAAATGTATGTGTAGGAGCACAAGTGGTCTGTTTACCCATAAGTCCTGAGAGGGGCTGATGTCACAGATAGCTGGGATCCGGAATATCCTCTCTCTCGTAGAAGACATCGCTTTTGTCCGATCCTATCGGCAAGAGTTTCTCCCCGCTCCTCTCTCACGCTCATTCCCTCCGTCGTTGAGGACATCAGAGATTACCATAATTTATTCTCTTATGAATACAGTAAATACCCCTGTTTACGTCTCACCCTTTTAATGTAGTTTCACAACTACGTCCTCACTTGATTAATACTGCCACCTGATTTGCATTAAGAATTGTACCATACTGTAGAGTACAGAATATTATTTCCATGCATTATTTTGGTGATTTGGAAAAAATACTTTGATTTATGCCGTTTCGATATTCGTGTTGATAATACAGCCCTTTGTCACTCCACTGCTGGATGACGGCCTTCCCATGCCCTCGTAGTCATGGAGGTTTGGCCATACTTCACGTGGATTAGTTTGTGTTGATGTCGCAGTCACTCTTTGAATGCTATGATTTGGTGTGGCTCTGTAACAGAAATGGTTTCGCCACATCATGGCAGAGCCACCTCATGGTTGTGATGCATTGTTCTGAAATATGTCACGTTAGATATGTTCAGTTTGAAGTTGGTTGCAACCCATTTATACAGTAACTCCACGAGATATGTTCACGCAGTCTGGGGACATTTTGAGATTAAAATGGACATTGGCTTTGACAGCTGAAACATGTTGTTCTGGCTGTGAATGTCACCTCAAAAATATCCACACCCATAAATCCCCTTCTCCATTAATGCAGCACTTAGAGAAATAATCGCTCAATGTTTACTGTACATTTCCTGCTTTAAAAGCTTACCAGTACTCAAGCAAACCTTTGATATGTGATAGTGGCTTTGCAGCATAGAAGCAAAATCAACCTGCTATCATCGTTCATTGGACCATCTGTTGGCAAAAGGCCCTCTTCCTTTACAGCTAGCGCAGGCTGTGACATGTTTGCATTTGGGCATTTTATGCCCTGCGACTGCCGCGCCGTCTAATGTGTGGCTCACATTGTGGGTGTCAGCAGCATTTTCATTTTTTTCTGTTTTTACTACAGGTTTGCCCCCCCCCCCCACCCCCCCCAACCCCCCCCCCCCCCCCGCCGGTTCGCGATCAAAAACTCCCTCTGTGGTTTTTAGGGAGAGTTCTCCCAGGCAGCTGCAGAGCTTTTAGAGGGCCTGCTTTGTTTTAATGTCTGGTGTTTGTTTCACTTTGGAATGCACTGTTGGTTTCTCAGAGTGTATCAAATAGTGTTCCTTGGC